AATCTCTACAACTAGTAAGCCAGTACCAACTCATTTAAAATATTAACCTAAATTATATTAAATTCAAAGTGAGAAGTAGCTGTGGAGTGGAAATTAAGAATTCTAATCCATCCTTGCTGGAAATATAATGGAAGATTACATCAGCATTGATTGGAGGCTGCCCCAGGAATGCTGGTTTTTGCCTCCCAATTCATATGTCTTTCTGGGATCTACTTCCTCATCTATGGTCCCTATCATCCTATTCTGAGAACTCAAGACCCAGTGGAAATCAGCCCAGGGGTGGGGTTGGGCCAATGAGACTTGCTTTCTTTAGAGAATGTGAGTGTTCAAGAGGCAGATATTCTATGTAGTCTATCCTCTACCTCAACACCAGTTATCACAAGAGAACAAATCAAAAAGCAAAATGCACATCTCCTCCCATGCTTTAGAAATCTGTTGCCTATTCTTGAAACTTGTTAGCCTAAGATAATCTGGTCTCCACCATGACCTCCTCTTCAACCTGGGCCTCAACACTCTCATCACCGTGTGGTGGATTAAAGACGACTCTAAATGTTCTGCCAGTCCTCCCATTGAGAGGTGGAATCTGTTTCTCCTCCCCTTGAATCTGGGGTGGCCTGTGACTTGCTTTAATTCAACAGAATGCAGAGGAAGTAAAGCTGTGTGACTTCTGAGGCTGAGCCTTAAGGCGTCTTGAGCTTCTGCATGCTTGGAATCCTCTCTCTTGGAGCCCAGTGGCCATGCTGTGAGAAACCCGAGCCATGTCGAGAGGTCACATGGAGGGGATCCTTGATGCTTGAGTCAACAGCCTCAAGCTGAGCTCCCAACTGACAGTCAGCACCGATTGCCAGCCATGTGAGTGAGCCATTTTGGACCTTTCTGGCTAGTTGGGTCTCCAGATGACTGTAGCCCTTGCTGATACCACTTTGGAACAGGAAAACTGCCCTACTGAGCCCAGGCAACAGCAGAATTGTGAGAGATAATAAAAGTTGTAGTAGCATCTTGTTTTTTAATATACACAACCTTTACTTTTTAGAATAGGTTTAGATTAACAGAAAGATTATGAAGATAGTGTCCCCAGTGGGGAACCCAGTTCCCACCATCATTAACATCTTACCTTAGTACATTTGTCATAATTAACGAACCAATGCTGACACATTATTATTAGCTAAAATCCATACTTTATTCAGATTTCCTTAGTTTTTACCTAATGTCCTTATTCTATTCCAGGACCCTAGCCAGGATATCCCATTCTATTTAGTCATCACATCTCCTTAGGCTCCTTATGGCTGTGACAATTTCTCAGACATTTCTCATTTTCCTTGACAATTTTGAGGAGGACTGGTCAGGTATTTTGTATGATGCCCCTCTATTGAGATTTTCGTGATGTTTTTCTCATGATTAGAGAGGAGCAATGGGTTTTTGGGAAGAAGACAACCAAGGCAAAGTGCCATTTCATCCCATCACATCAAGGGTACCTGTGGTAAATGTGACCCATCACTATTGATGCTGACTTCGGTCACCTGGCTGAGACAGTGCTCGTCAGGTTTCTCTACCATGCGAAGCCACAGTTAAGGAGTAGGGAGTTATGCTTCATCCACATCCTTGAGGGTGGAGTATCCATATAAATTATTTGGAATTCTTCTGCCCAAGAGACTGTGACGGTGGTTTTAAACCACTAAGTTTTGGTGTGGTTTAATGTATAGTAAGATATCTAAAACACACAAACCTTTTCACCATCTCCTGTTATACTTCACCAGTAAAATATGCTACATATGGTTCATTCTTCTTATAATGCCCTTCCCATCCCACCCACCTACTCACCAACCAACCAATGAAAATAAACAAAAAAACCCTGTTTTTCAACAAAACCCAGCTCAAGTGTTACCCTCTCTATTGTGGAGCTTCCTTCCAGGAAGAATTCATTGCTGTGACCTAGCTCCCAAGGCACACACTTAATACCACTATCACAGCCCTTATGATGCAGCTGCCTCCCTCCCCTAGACTAAAAGTTCCCAAGGTGCAGAGACCACGCTTTATGTAAATTTGCATGCCATACCTAGGACATCAGCACATAGTAGGTGGCCCGTGTTTGCTGAATTAAATAATCAACTGAATGACTATAAAAGTGTATTTTTTTATAATATCTCAATTAAAAAGATTTTTAAGGGGCCAGGCTGATGGCGCAGCTGTTAAGTGCGCACATTCCGCTTCGGCGGCCCGGGGTTCTCTGGTTCAGATCTCGGGTATGGACATGGCACCGCTTGGCAAGCCATGCTGTGGTAGGCATCCCACATATAAAGTAGAGGAGGATGGGCACGGATGTTAGCTCAGGGCCAGTCTCCCTCAGCAAAAAGAGGAGGATTGACTGCAGATGTTAGCTTGGGGCTAGTCTTCCTCAACAACAACAACAAAAGATTTTTAAAGAGAAGGGACAATGTAAATAAATAGCTATGGTCCAAGATATGTCAGTAAATCCACACTAGAACTGAAAGCTCCCTTGTACTGTACAGTTCCACTATGTGACAGCTAGACCAGGCACGGAGAAACTGATCACTGCATCCAATGAGTCAAAGCCACATATGACAGATAAACAGTATCTGTTTTCAGATCCATGTGACATACTAAATACTAAATAAATCAGGTCACATGAGTCTCTCTCCGAGGAAATCAGGTCAATGAAGTACATGCCCCCACCTGTGGATTTCTTGATACGTCATCAAACACTTTTTACAGAACACAATTTTCATATTTAACTTTTGAAAGTGGAACAATAAGACGGATTCATGGGTAACTGTGTTAGTTCTATCCAATTTTCTCTCTCACATACACAGTAGGGAAATTAAATAAGCCCTGAAGTCGTCCTTGGGAAAAACACAAGGCGTAGTCACTGTGCCTCTGAAGGATATATTCAGGGGCTTCTCAAGTTTTACATTAATAATAACTCTGTCAACTTGTCTTCCTTCAGTATTTACAACAGAAGCTTTCAGTAAAATAGCAGAACTCTCTTGGAGAAAGTGATTAGGTCATACAAAATTGCATTCTAGTGACCGGGGAAAAAAGCTAGTTCTAAACTAATGTGAAACTTAACATTCTTTTTTCTTGCTTCTACTTAAAATTCTTAGAGCTCCAAGAATCAAAACAAAGAAAATCACAGTTCACTGAGGCAACTGTGTATGTCAGTACCCAGTACAGTTCCTGGCACAGAGTAGATGTTCAATAAATATTTGCTGAATTAATGAGATGAAGAGAAAGAGGGAGAGAGGAAGGAAGGTAAAAAAAAATAAGCAAGAAAAAAATGGAACGAACACTTGTACTTAATTAAAGAATTATCTATGGCCAATCTACAGCAATCTTTTTTTTCTTCTTTTCTTTCTCTCCTTCTCCCAAAGTCTCCCAGTACATAGCTGTGTATTCCAGTTGTAGGTCCCTCTGGTTCTGCTATGTGGGACGCTGCCTCAGCATGGCTTCAGGAGCGGTACTAGGTTGGCATCCAGGATCTGAACCGGCGAAACCCCAGGCCGCAGAAGCGGAGCGTGGGAGCATAACCACTTGGCCACCGGGCTGGTCCCCACAGCAATCTTTCAGAAGCCATCTTCTGCTTTTTATCTTTCTAGCAGAGAAATGCAGACTTCCTAACTTCACTTCCCAACTCTTGAAGAATATCTCATCCCTAGTCCACCTACACTTAAACATCTCTCTCTAAGAAGAACCTATGGAAGATGCTGCAGAGTCTCAGAGAACGTTTCTTCAAGAGGGCCATCAAAATTCACATTCTCCAAGAACAACTCCTTTGCCAATCCTGTCCAACCATAAGCATCCCTGATTTCCACTTGCATAACACTTTTATGGATATTTCTAAAACTGCCTTGATCCTTATATTCATTTAATAACTATTCTAAACACCTTCTCTACAACTGCAATTCCAAATTTTTCCCTTTAACAGGAAAACTAAATCCTTAAGGTCCTCAGTCGTGCACTCTAAATTCTCCAAATAACTATGACCTCCATTTCAGAGGCAATGCGAAGAAGCTGAAGCCCACTTTCTTTCCTCTTCCCAATACCACTCCACCACTGGACAGGAGTCAGAAGAGCGGCTTCAGCCCCAGCACAGGCACTGCTGCAGCACGAGGGGACCAGTCTCACTGATGCCAGTTCCCTCAGGCTCTCAAATCTGAGGAACCGTTCCCATAAATGCGCTCTGCCTTCCTCCACTCACTTCTTCCCTCTTTTCTCAAACATGCATGGCCTCCTGCACTTCAACTAATGCCTCCGTCTCGCTGCTGTTCTCTCCTCCATTTACTTTCAACATTCCCAAAATTGAGTGGTAGACTATAGCCACAACTCTTACTTTTTTACCATTTAATTTCTTTTTTACCCATAAAATTTGGTTTCTGACTCTCCTACTCTAATGAAATGGCACTCGAGCACCATTAATAAGTTATTTTTTAAAACTTTCTTACTGTGGAAAATTTCAAGCATATACAAATGAACCCCTACGTACCCATCACCAAGCTTCAACAGTTGTCAACATTCTGTCATTCTTGTTTCACCTACAGTTCCACCCATTCTCCATCTCTATTGGATTATTACTTAGGTTTTTCAGGTAAAATATACCTGAAAAATTGTAATTTTTATTGTAACTGTAAATTATAGCAGTATAATTTTGACAAATAGATGCCCATGTGACCCACACGCCTATCAGACACAGAAATCTCCATCCCCCTAGAAAGTTTTCTTGTGTCCCTTCTCCTCAATTAGTTTTTAAAAAAACAAATCCAGATGCCTTTCTCAATTACCAACCTCCTTGGCTTCTTGGCAGCATCTGACAATACTGACTGTATCTTTTTCTTGAAATTCACCTCTTGGTTTCTATAACGCAAAACAGTATTCCAAATCTTCCTCAAGTCACATCAGTTTCACCTCTTCAACACACCTCTAGTCTGTCTGTCCTTCACTTCTAGTGCCACTACACTAATCCAGTCCACCGTCTTTTCTCTCACCTGAATGACTACATCTGCCTTCTCACCTTCCTCCACCTGTCGTCTCCCTCCTTCACCTCTTGCCTCTCTCCAATCCGCTCTCCATATAGCAGCCAGAGTGACCTTTTAAAAACACAAATCATATCATGTTACTCCCCAACTCAACAGCCTTCAAGGGCTTCCCAGTGTACAGAGGAAAAATTCACATTTCTCACCATGACCTTTGAGTCTTGCAAGGTCTCTGCCTCCCTCTCTAACCTCCTATTACCATTTGGCCACATGGGACTACTGACAGTTCTTGGCAGAGGCCAAAGGCTTTTGAAGCTGTTTCCTCTGTCTAGAACACTGTTCTTGTAGCTCTTAACATCGCTGGCTCCTCATTCTTTAGCTCTCAGCTGAAACGTCACCTTCTAAGACAGGTCTTCCTTGACTAACCTAAGCTTGTTCTCCCAGTCACCCTATATTACATTACTTTATTTTATTCATAGTATTGGCCATCATCCATAATTATTATCTTTATTTATATTTTTTTCTCCCACTAAAATGTAACCACCTTGAGAGTAAAAACCACATCTTTTTGGTTCATTGTTGTATCCTGATAACGTGTGCTCAAGAATTATTTATTGAAAAAAAATGGATTTAGCTCAAAATCACGGTTTTGTAGAAAATTCCCCATTTTTCCTCCAAACCAGCTGCCTTTCCTGATTTCTTTCTGTTAACAGGCAACCACAAATTGTGTTACCATAGTGCTATGATAAATTCCTGCACTGACATCAAATCATTCCACATAAATAAGATTAAAACAAAAAGAAGCATAAGAAAGAAAAAAACATAAACTAACACTGACGAAGTTAAAGTTATAATCTAATTTCTACTTACTGCAAGTATAAAAAGAATGTTCTTTTATTCTTTAGTTTAATTGATTCTAAACTGATAAACTACTCAGCAATTGAAAAAATCAAGAAATCCGGTCTTTTCTTTCTTCCCAGAATGAAGGTAGAAACTGAGCTTATGGCACCATAAAATATACTATATTGGTGTAATTACACGCTTGCCAAGTAATCTTCCAATTGCAACTTAGCTTTCCAGGGAGGGAATGTACTAGCCAGAGGATCCAAGAATCCACCCTTCCTTAACATTATATTTCATTATAAATTAGTCAATTAGGATCTTGGAGACCTCAGAAATCCTGGGGTCTATGTGTCTTGGGAGGCCTAGGTGTGTGTGTCCCTGTGTGTGTTTGGGGAGAGTCCCGGAGTGCGTGCTTATCTCACAGGTTCTGACTAACCCTAAGCGAGATTCAGGATCTAGATGATGTAGACTGATGAAAGTCTGTAGGCTTCTTCTTTGGCTACAGAAATAAGGAAGTGATCTGGTGAGTTGCCGGGGGTAAAGCCCCCAGCGGACAGGATGACATCTGTCCCTCCACCCAGCTCATGGACTGCAGAGAGGAGGGATTCTGAAAGAAGCTTCAGGAGCCGTTTTCACGAGGGACCCCAGACTCAGGGCATGAGCAGTGCTTCTCTGAAGCTCAGCGCACAAAGTGCAAGAGAACTGAGAAGCTGTGGGGGTGTTTCTCTAAAACTTGTGAAGCATTGCATGAGGCCAGTAGGCAGCAAGGACAGGTCTGAGGGGGAGCCACTGGCATTGTTTTTCCTTTTTTTAAAAAAATAATTTATTGGGGCTGGCCCAGTGGTGAAGTGGTTAAGTTCATGCCCTATACTTTGACAGCCTGGGGTTCATAGGTTTGGATCCCAGGCGCGGACCTATGCACCACTCATCAAACCATGCTGTGGTGGTGACCCATATACAAAACAGAGGAACACTGGCAACAGATGTCAGGTCAGGGACAATCCTCCTCACACACACAAAATAATAATAATAATTCAGTGATGTGAAATTCACATACATAAAAGTAACCATTTTAAGGTGAACAATTCAGTGGCATTTAGTATATTTACAATGTTGTACAACCACCACCTCCATCAAGTTCCAAAACATTTTCATCAACCTAAACAGAAACCCCACACCCATTAGGTACTCATTTCTCACTCCCCCTTGCCCTAAAACAAACCCTGACAACCACCAGTCTCTGTTCCACCTCTTTGGATTTATCTATTCTGTATATTTCATGTAAATGGAATCATACAATGTGTGACCTTTTATGCCTGGCTTCTTCCACTTAGCATGATGTTTTGGAGGGTCCCTGTGACATTTTGACACCTCTCCACTTTTGCTCTGGTGAAGGAATAAGCCTTCCCCAGAGAGTATAAGCAGCAGCGGCAGCAGCAAAGGATCCCCCTCAGGTGGATTCAGGGCAGCAGATAATGCCACAGGTGCTCGGGACTGTCCAGGACACCATGTGAGATGCCCTCAGAGCTTCCAGGAAGGATCAGAGACAATTTTGAAAGGAGAAGGAGGGATGTGAGGGTGATACTGAAGGTTCCATGTGACCAGCAGAGAAAGAGTTGCGGAGATTCACAGCACAGAGCCAGATATAGAGAGAGACAGATAAACCATAGATAACTTTTTATATATAGGGTTTGACAATAATAATATTCCTTCAAGCTTTAGCTTGAAAAACCAAACCAAATAAATTACCATTTAAAAATTTATAACAGAAAAATGTCTAAATAATGATCAGTGATGCTTCTGTGCAGCACGAACCAGGACAGGTTTTACTTTTTATCTTATGTACTTCTGATTTGTTTTAATTTTTAAAATAAGTATATGTAACTTGCATAATAAAATTTTAAAAGATAAAGTGCCAGTATTCTAAAAATGAATCATAAAGTTCTCTATGAGTTCAGTAAAATTTGTTTTAAATTTGTCATGTAGCGTAACAAAAATGGATATTGAGAAGAAAATAATCTTCTCAATCTTAGGTTAGCTTCTAATTTAAACCAACCTAGTTTCTAAATTCACCTAAAACAAAACACCCACGCGACTCATCCATTGCCTCTGTTGTTTAATTTCTACTCAAGTCGTTTGCACCCTTAGTAATTCACTGACCTTGGAACTGCTTTCTTCCGATACTTCTCCCTCATTGGTCTGCATGGGAACAGACTTTGTGCAAAACTCTGCAGAAACACACAAATACTGCCTAAAAGAGGTAAGAAGAAGAAAAAATACATAAGGAATTCAGTATGAAAATTTGTTTTTTCAAAGATTTAGATTGAAATTCTGTCATTGAGACCATGGATACTGTGAAACAATGAACTTTAACTTAATTGTGTGTGTGTGCGTGTGTGCGCGTATGCACACACACATACATGCATCTTAGGTAAGAAAGAAGGAAGGAGGGAGGGAGGGAATTTTCCCCACCTTACGGGAGAGGATAGTTAGGAAAGGTTTAAGACATTGGGGTATTAAATAGTTCTAGATTCCTTTCTCCTTTTTATTTGACTTTAGGCAGAGGTAAAAAATCTTCAGTAATTTCTATTGGAATTGACTGGGTTTCTTGAGTTTATAATTTATGTTCAACATTTTCGGTATTTTATAACTGAAATTAAGATGTAGTCTAATGGGTGATCTCATTATTTTTATTTTAAGAAAATTTGCTTACTAAACTAAATGTCAGTTTATTTTTATATGAGAATAGGCTATTCATAGGGCAAGACAATAAAAAGTAGTAATTTTTCCATTAAGGATAAAATGACTCAAACAAAAGTTTGTTAACATTTTATGATTTAAAATGTGCCAAAAAGAAACTACTAAACGTTTATGCAACATTTAATTTATTAAATACATAATTATTGAGGAATAATTACTCAAACTGACACAAAACAAATCTCCATTATAGTACAGGTATGAATATTTTAAAACCTTTCAAATATTTTAAAAGGCTTATAGCTACAAAATATAAAAGTTAAAAGATGCTTGACAGTGTATCATTTTTGTAGGCAGAGGAATCTCGTCATGAATGCAGCATCTCCTGGGCCTGGTGATCTGGTTCTGATGCAGGCTTCTCAATAACCAACCACAAGATGTGAGGCCAAGAAGGCACTTCCAGCAACCTGTTTCGTCATCTATTGGGTGGGAAGAGGGTATCGAGACACCTACTGTGCTCACCTAAGGTTTTCTGGTAACCAATGTGTATTTACATGATGTGCAAGGTAGAATTGGTACGGTGGAAGCTCTCTTAATCAATCACTCACTCCATATGACTGACATTGCCCATTCCGTCCACAAAACGTACAATTGATGCTCACAGCAAGTGAAACTTTCTGGAGGCATTCTCTAGTTGGTTTTGCCCCTCATCTATTTATGACAGTTGTGCAAAAACAGAATTGCTCTTTCTATGAAAATTAAACTGATGACACTGGAAAAACTCAAAAACATATCTAGAAAGATTTGGTAGGCAAATTGATTGCATGTGAGCTCAGCCCGTTCTTGTTCTCTTTCTTCCTTTTGGAAGTCAGCTGTCCCCAGGGAGCATGCATTCTCCTCTGCTCCTGTACTCATTAATGCAGGCCCCTCACAATTATTTGTGACTAGGCTTGTTGTTGTCAGTGCCTTCGAGTTAATGCCAACTTCTAGCTGCTCTGTGTACAGCAGAGTGGAGCTCTGTCAGGTCATTTTGCATCACCCTCTCATCCTCTGGCACTGTATCAGACAACGCTCCACTGCTATTCACAGGGTTTTCATGGCCATTTTTCTTGGAAGTAGGTGGCCAGGTCCTTCTTCCTAGTCTGTCACCTCTGCTGAAAACTGTCCACCATGGGTGACCCTGCTGGTATTTGCAACATTGGTGGCATAGCTTTTAGCATCACAGCACCATGTAGCTGCCACAGTATGGCAACAGACAGATGGGTCGTGTGGTTCCCTCACTGGGAAACATACCTGGGCCATGGCAGTGAGAGCGCCGAATCTTAACCACTAGACACTCGGGCTGGCTTGTGACTAGGTAAGTCTGTTGAATTCTGAGGTTCAGTGTTAAGAAGTTCACTTGCCTGTAAATGTAAGCCACATTCTCCAATATAGCTTTATTAGTAATAAAGATGATCCTTTGGTCTCCCAAATGCCCTGCTCTTTTATCTTATTCTCAATTGGTATATAACTCAGGCAAGGGAAAAATAATGCTATTTATTGGGTCTCTCAAAGACCCTAACATATCACGAATAAGACTAGATTCTTGATAAACAGACATGAAGTAAAATATGGGGAATAAAATACATGTGAAATTTCTGAGGCTTCTGTTGGGGCCAAGCCTTTGGGCCTTGGTCTTTAGTGAGGGGGCAAAGTGTTTTGACCTTGCAGAGGTTTACATTAGGCCACATGAGTTTTTACAGTTGTACACTAGCTTTTAACTATTGAGGCCAATTAGAGGTTTATAAACCAAAGGGCACACTGTATTTTGACCTTAGTGGTGACTGTAGTTACGGCAGCTTTGTCTTCGAGAGAGTGGCTGTTTCTATAGAGACAAGGCTGCATGCACCGGGCACATAAGCCTTAGCAAAGGCTTGGGGGTTCTGCTGCCCTCAGCAAAGAAACAAGCCACAGTCAGTGGCGGTGGTGGTGCTACTGAAAGCTCATCTAAATGTCAGCTGTGCAAGTGGCTTCAGCATACATTGGCCCCTGTGGCCTAGTAAGCAAATGCCAGCTGTGCTGGCCTCAGCAAAGGGAATAGGGCATTAGCAGGCTTGGGTGGCTTCAAAGTACAGAAGGCTGCTGCTGCCTGACCTTGAATTATGCAGGCACAGCTTTTCCTAAGCAGGCATGGCTGAGGCAAAGATTAGAATTTAGGGAAAGAGACTTTCTTCATACAGATTTTTAGATATTAGCAAGTGGAACAATTATTTGCTGCATGTAAGCTGCAAGGCAGCTGAATTTCAAACAGCACATGCACTATAAAACCAGTGAAGTTCTATGCTTAAATTATTTGTGCTAGGCTTACACAGGCAATTCAAAGGGGAAATGGAAATTAAGAGGTTTCTCACTATACTTCACAGGAGGAAGGAAAGAAGGTAGGAGGGAAGGAAGGAAGGAAGGGAGCCAGGACACTTAGAGAGGAAGGGTGGGAATCTGGTAACTGGGGCTGTCACTACTATGAATCCATATATTTTGCAAAAAGGAGGTGATATTTCAAATATTAATCTTAAAAGAGAAGACCGTGTGCATTGGTTGAGTTTTTCCCAAATAGGGTAAAGGCAGAGTTCCAAATTTAAGCTCCTACTGGCAGATTTTTCCAATTTGGAAGTGTCCGAGTCATGGACTCTGGACATTGGCATGGACTAACTGGATACATTGGTGAAGCTGAAACCAAGAGGACCTCGTCCACCCTCCCTTCCTCAGATACCAGTGCGTGTCTGCTACAGTCTTTGGTAAGATTAAGTACCGCATTCTGGGAACATAATTTTATCAGAAGTGCTGCGCTTGGACTGTAGGTAGGCTTACTTTCCAAATTTGGTAGCTGTGGGAACAGTGCTGAAATGATTTTGTTTAGCCTTGGAGTTCACATAATTTATATACTGTTCTGATCCATTTTAGAATCTTCTGGGGACAAAATCAATTCTGCCCACCAATCATCCCTAGAGAATACCTGTGTGAACAGTGGTTGGTAGTGGGGGATTGTCCTCATGAAAGTGGGAGTAGGACTGTCCTGAGACCACTTCTCCCTTAAGGAGATAGGCACACCCCAGCTGACCCAGATTTACTGCTTAAGACCAATGGACCAAGAGACAAAAGCTGGAGAGTGTTAGGGAAGAAAACTTCTTGCCCACTCTTGATGCTTCCTTCCATGTGGGGCAATATGAATTTGTTTACTGTTCCTGGCCTTATCACATCCCTGACTCATGCCATCAGGGGTAATGTGACTTGTCTGATCACTGAGTCTGGAAGAGGAAACTGAGCTTGCAGTACAGCCCCTTTCTCCCCTTTCCCTTGGGGGTACCTATTCTGCTCTTCTCCTTCCTTCTTCTGGGAGGCAGGAGTATCCCAGACTAGTGCTGCTGAGTGGATAAACCTGTTAAGTTCCAGAGTTCAGTATTAGGAAGCTGACTTGCCCTTAGAGATGGGCCAGTTCTCCTGCGTCAATGTAATTGGTAATAAAAGTGAAATTTTGATCTCCACTTGCCTTACTTCTTCATCTTGTATCTCCACTGGTTCAGAAGTTGGGCAGGGAAGAGAATATTATTTATTGGGTCCCCTACAATTCCAATTTATATCTGAAACTTATTCTCTTCAGAATTGAGTTCAGTTTTCTGTATCAGTCTTACCTTTCCAATTAGCCCATTACCATAATATTAATAACACAATTTTACTTCATAAGCTTTCCAATTCCATTTCCAGTTTCTCCCAATGCACACACTATACTTCACTTCACTCAGGCAAATACTCTTTCTATTCTCTCCACATAACTTGCTAATTTCTATCTATTCACTCCATATCCCATTTGAAATCCCTCCCAGTCATCACCAATCCACGTCTCTATCCTTCTAATATCCAGTCAATTTTTATTTCTAAAAATCTTTCCTGATTAACACCATATAATCTGCCTACTTACTACATGTCATATCGATACCGATTTTTCTATTTGCCCTTTCTTTAATTTGCTCTCATTTTTCGTTATTCTGGAACTATTCTCAATATCTTTTAATGTGTTTCTTGAAAGAGCCTTGATGACATTCTTGTTTGAAGGCTTATGGTTGTGTCTAAGGATCTAAGTCAGTTTTACTGTCCTTTTGTCAAAATGGAAGGAGAATAAAGTGAGCAATGTAAAAGTATATGGTTAAGCTAGGGGTTTCACTTGGGAAGTGACAAAGGGTCCAGCATATCAGTGCCAAGAGAGTGATGAAAAGGTCAAGGCAAAGCCCACTTACGTGCAAAGTAACTGGAGGGCTGAACAAGAGCTGGTAAAGCTGTTAGGATGATGTGACAACATACGCATTTGATTTCTGCTTCAGTACATCATTGTGCCTCAGAGCTGTCACCAGTCTGCCATACGTGGTAAGTGACTGAGTCTTGACCCCGCACAGTGCTTCAGCACACACAGAACAGGACTCCACAAACGTTAGTGACCAAAAATGAGTAATGTCATACCCGGGCTAGGTCTTCTCTAAGCATTGGCAAAGCCCTCCAGGGTCTAGCCCTCACCTGTCTCTCCAGCATCACTGTCCAGGCCTCTTTGTGTGCCTTTGTTCCAACCATATTGAAATACTCAGCTTTGCAAACATGCCAGATTGTTTCAGGTTGCCATGTTTTTGTTCGTATTACTCTCTCTGCCTTTCCCTCCCCTGGGACTGCCAGGGAACACCCTCCTCCTCATTCAAGACCCAGCTATTATAAAGTATTTCCTGATCCATCCCTCGGTAGAACTGATGATTCCTTCCTTGGTATCCCCAGTACATCTTGTTTGAATTCTATTAAAGGATCTGTAATACTTTATTGAATTATTGGTTTACATAGATGCCTTCCCTATTAGATTGTCAACCCAACCCTCTGATACCACAGACTGTATCTCATTAATCTCCATATTCACAGTTTACTTAAAATTGTGACCTGGCATTTAATAGATATTCAATAAATTTCTATGTAAGAATGATTGAATTAATCAATTAAGGGCTTTTTATTTAAATTGCAATAGATATTAATTCAATAAATATTTACTGGGTTCCTACCACATGCCAGATGGTGCTGGGCTAGTGTGGTGTAGCAGAATGAGCTTTGGCTTTGACAGAGCAGAATCATTATTCTTTGTCATTGATTAACTCTGTAATCTGGGCAAGTTACTTAACTTTCTAATCTTCACTATTTTCATCCATAAAAGTGGTCAGAAGGAGGTGTTATAAGAATTAAATTAAATAATATATATACAGCCACGTGTTGCTTAACGATGGGGATATGTTCTGAGAAATGTGTGGTTAGGTGATTTCGTCCTTGTGTGAACAGCACACTGGAGTGCACTAATGCAAACCTAGACAGCACAGCCTACTACACACCTAGGCTATATAATACTAATCTTACGGGACCCCTGTCATATAGGTGGTCCATTGTTGACCAAAAGGTCGTTATGCAGAGCATGACTGTATGGCATTCAGCAAGGTGTCCAGGAGCAGCCAACAGGCACTAACAAAATAGTTTCTTTCCTTTCCAAGAAGTCTCAAAGGGCTTATAGACTAGTAAAGGAGAGAGACACAAATAAATAACTCTAACATAAAATAAGGAATGCGTTCTTACTGTAATAATAACAGGTGTTCCTAGAACACTGATGAAAAAGAAATTCTGCAGAGAGAGTCTGGGAGAAGGGAACAATAGGAAAGATACAAGAAGGAAGAGTAGATAGTTGCATTCTTCTCCCCTCTTCCAAATCTTAAGCAAAGAGAAAAGCATCAACCAAAGCACAAAGCCATGCAAAGGAACCGTATATCTGGGAAACGGAAAATGGTCTGGTAAGGCTTAGAGGTAGGAGTTCACTAAAAGAGAAGCCAGAAACACTGATTGGAATTAGGTCGTGAAGGGGTTTGTAGGATGACATCTGTAGCAACTGGGAGCCACGAGAGCTGTTTAAGCAAAGGAGTGACATGAGTCAATCTATCATTTAGAAAGCTAACCCTGGCAGTAATGCGGACTACAGCCTGGAGCAGGGAGAGACTAGAGGCAGAAAGCCAGTAATATGTTCACATAAACCTGTGGAACTGCTGAATCCTAATAACAAATTCACGCTTTAAAAAAGGATGGGGCGCCAAATGTCAGTATCAATCTAAATACTAGTGCTTTTTTAAAGGGACCTACTGAAGTAGAAATGCAAAGGGCTGATGTGATGGCCCCTTTAAACACCCTTCTGCAAGAACTCTGGAAAGGAGCAATAATGTCGAAATGTACTTTTCCTTCTTTTAAGATGAAGACTCTCTCATTTCATTGCCAAAACACGTGGATATAAATGTTAAAGACTTACCTTTGACAGTATCCTGGGGCAACACAAGCCCGTGAAGATGAGTCTAGACTACATTCAGTGCAAAAACCAAAACCCTGAAAAGAGAGAAAAATCAAAATGAACCACACATTCATAGCAAGATGCCACAGGAAGTGTTGGAGCACAAGTTCTGAATTCAGGTAGCCTGGTATAAATCCGGGCTCCTCTGTGTACCAGCTATTGAATCTTGGGCCAATGGCCTAACCTCTCAAGCCTCAGCTTCCTCATTCAACACTGGGAACAGTAACAGCATCCTCATCATAGGGTTCTTTGGAACTTTAAATGAAATACATGTAAAACACTTAGTAAAGGGCAGGGCACCAACCATATGCTCAATAAAGGTAAGTGGTTATTAAGAATGTGAACTGAAGTACTTTTTGAAGAAACACTAAAACGTATATTAAACCTTTATCATATATTTTACCTTAACTGTTCTACTAGAAAAATACCAAATTGTCTTTTCAACTTCTCCATTTGACATGAGGATGTCTTATAATCACTTCAGATTCAATATGTCCCACACTGTACTCTTCATCCCCTGCCAGACCTCACTCTCCCGTCTCCACTGTCTTAATCAAGGGTACCATCCTCCATCCAGTTGTTGGGTCAGAACCTCAGATTCATCCTGGATTTCTCACCCTACCCTAGTCCCCTCACAGCCCATCAGCAGTCCGGTCATTTCTGCTTCCAGTTTGTATCTCAGATCTACCCATCATTCTTCATTTTCATTGCCATGATCATTTCCTGCCTGTGGAGACCTCTTAGCTGATCTCCCTGGGCCTACTCTTGCTCCTCCCCATTCCATTCCCAAATAATGGCTGGAATAGCCTCTTCAAAATCAAATCGGATCGTAGTCAGTTGCTAATAAATGCAGTGAAATGTTTTATTTATTCAATGATGGAATGTCTCTCTCTTTACACATGTGAAACATATATTTATATTTTTGTTAATATACATGAAATTATAGCCATTTGTTACTAGACATTTAGAGATCCCAAGCTACTCCCTTCATTTCACAATGGGAGAAACAAATGCCAGAAGGATAGTCAGCTCAAAGGTTGGACCTTTACACACGTAAAGGTGGTCAAAACACTGTTGAACAAGCCCAGCAGAAACTGGTCTGTGATTAGTGTCTGCACTGCTGTCAGAAAGCTTGTCACAAGAGGAAGATGGGCATAGATGTTAGCTTAGGGCCAATCTTCCTCAGCAAAAAGAGGATTGGTAGAGGATGTTAGCTCAGGGCTAATCTTCCTCAAAAAAAAAAAAAAAAAAAAAAAGAGGGCCAGCCCCATGGCCAAGTGGTTAAGTTCACACACTCCACTTCGGTAGCCCAGGGTTTTGCTGGTTCGGATTCTGGGCGCGGACATGGCCCCACTCGTCAGGCCATGCTGAGGCGGCATCCTACATAGTACAACCAGAGGCACTCACAACTAGAATATGCAACTATGTAGTGGGAGGCTTTTGGGAGAAGAAGAAGAAAAGGAAGGAAAAAAAAAGGATTGGCAACAGTTTTAAGCTCAGGTGCCAATCTTTAAAAAAAAAAAAAGCAAGAAAGAAAAAGAAAGCTCATCACTATTTGGAAGTTGGTCCCTTAGTTTCACAACCAACTCAATGTTTCTGTCCAAGAAAGTGCATTCTATTCCCCATGGCTACAGATTGTAAGTTACAGCTTTAGTCCCATATTATGTACGTCACAGTGTTTGTGGTGGTGCTTTAGTGAAACTTGAAAGCATCTTGTTGCCCTCGTATCTGTCACCACCTCTACCTTAAGCTTATTTTTTTTAACAATGTTTGAATAAATAAATCTCAGATGGAATTGTGCATGATGAGTATTAGTAATATTTTCATTATTATACCTATCCTCCTACTATACACACTGTTATCCCAGCAATCTTCCTTTCTGAAAAGCAAATCTGACCTCTGAGTATATCACTGCCAAAATCCAGTCAATTACTACCCATTACCTTTAGGGCAAAACTCAAGATCTCTCTAGCCCATCATTACTTCACATTCTATTTACATGGATTGCAGGTGCTTTCCTTGCCCACAATACATGCATAAATGTCTGCTCAGGGTCCTCTGCCTAATTCCCTTCTTCACCTGCCCCAGGTATTAGCTCCTGAAAGTTTTCTGTACCCTCCTTGGCTACACTAAGGGTCTCTCCCCGAGACATACCATACAATATTGCCAATATCCGTGAGTCTGTTTTCTTCACTCAACAGGAGCTCCCTGACAAGGACTGTCTGTCTTATACATCTTTGAATTTGGTATCAGGTAAGGAGTTCAATAAAGATAAGCTGAATGGAAGGAATCCTGTGTGATCTCAATAACTCAGTACTTCAATGTGGATGTTTCTCATTAAAAGGCCCTGGTGGGGCCGGCCCCATGGCTGAGTGGTTAAGTTCACGCGCTCCACTTTGGCGGCCCAGGGTTTCACCGGTTCAGATCCTGGGCATGGACATGGCACCGTTCATCAGGCCATGCTGAGGTGGCGTCCCACATGCCACAACTAGAGGGACCCACAACTAAAAATATATAACTATGTACTGGGGGGATTTGGGGAGCAAAAGCAGGAAAAAAAAAAAAAAAGGCCCTGGGGATGGTTGAAGAAGCTAGCTGCAACTTCCAAGACGGGTCTGGCCCTCACGGAGGATGTGAGCTGTGTGGTTAGGTGTGACCCTCAGCAACTCACAGAAAGACTGGATTCTTTAATTTTTTGTCAACCGCAGACTATCAAGATAACAATGCTAATTTTCAGTTCTCTATTTTGATTAGTTTCTGCCCAGGCTGAACATGCCTTCTTCTCTAGACTTAGCAGCAGTCTAAATTTTGTACCAGCTTTAGAAAGTAGCCCATTACTACTACATACCTTGTTAACAGATGAGCTGAGGACACAGTGGCCAGCTCAGTCCTTTGCCTGCTTGGCAGTTGGTCCCAAACACTTGCTGACGTTCAGCAAGAGAAAAGGAGTTAAAGCAGACGATGGGCAGGCAAAGGAAACTCGGCAGTTTTCCAAGTACTCTGGAAACCAGTTTTTACAGAACAGCCTCATTACTTTCTCTGCAGGGCTGTGAACCTCTGTATCAGATGCACTTGTACTCAAGATAAGCATAAAATTTAATTCTAAAATCAACATCTGAAATTACCTAGTTGAAGTTATCTACAGCACTATTTTCCTTTTAAGGTATGAGTAAGGGCAAATTCCTTCAAAACATCATTTTGAAATGGTCAGAGCTACACTAATCCGACCATCTGATCACGTATAGCTGCTGCAGTAAACTATTTGAACCACTCCAGCTTTCTCTGTTCTCTTGCAGTGTAACCAGACCAGTCCTGAAATTCACACAGAGGGTGGGACTGTTCAGTGGATCTTGGAAGAAACCAACCCCAGGCCCTGCTAAACTGCAGGCAGACTTCAAGAGTTCCTCCACAGCCAAGTACCTAACTAAACTCACAGGATGTCATTAGAACTGAGTCTTTCCTAGAGAATATGGCGAGTTGAAAGAGATACCTATTCAGTAAACTATATTTACTTTATTAATATAGGTTTTAATTTTCAAGCCTGATTATTTAGCATGATTCTTTTCAATTTAATTTTAATTCTCATTTCAAAAAATTCAAGCAATATGGATCAGGCCCTTTACCACTGTCCTCTCTCTTCCCACCCCAGTCTTCCCAGGACTCACCATTGTTAACTGTTTGATACTCAGCACAATTCTTGGGATGCAGACTATAAAGAATGTACTATAAGCTTTTAATTGAGTCACAAATAACCCTGAAAATCCTGATTGCCTATGTCATTGGCAATAGGCCTAACTTCAAGCAAGATGTCCGGAAGAGACGTCTTAAGTGAAGCGCCAGATGTGAGGGAGGAGCAAAACACCCGCACCAAGGCTGGGAAAGTCCTCTCAGGAGGCCAGCACAGACAAGAAGACTTGGGGTAGACAGGAGGGTACCGCAAGTCCTACTCTATAAGTGGGGCACCCAGCCCAGAAGGGCAAGGAGGAATTTATTTAATTAAGTAATGCAAATAATAATATCAAATGCCCAAGGAGCACAGGTGGAGGGAACTCTGCTACAGGCAGATGGGTTTACATAGCCACCAATACACAAAAGTTATTGTTGTTCCAAGATCTGGAAAGTCTATCTTTGTGGTTTCAGGTCACTTCTACTTCAGTTGAACGCTTTAGAAATTCTAGAAAAATATTCCAGTCTGCCCATTTCTAGAAACATCCCCTTTAATCCTAAATTCTCCTCAAGGTTTGTGTCCTCCCTCCCCTCTTTCCTTTCCTAGTCAAGCTTCTTAAAAAAGTTTTTCTTTGCGGTCTCAATGTCCTAATCTCTCATTCACTTATTAGTCATTGCAATTGATTTCTTCCCCTGTCAATCCTAGTTGTCAAATACGATGGATATTACTGTTTTGCTTTAACCTCTCTTTGGCATTTAAAATCAGAATGACCTGAAACTCCTGTCATTTGGGAGCTCCTTTCCTATCTTGATATCAAGGATACTACAGATCCAGCCATTGGACCAGGGCACCTTGTTTTATTTCCTGGTCTCTTGGCTGCGTCTGGGTCCTCCTGTCTCCCCAGGTTTGCAGCCAGCCCAAGGCCTTTGCCAATACTGTTGATTTTCAGATTCCCATCATGGGCAGGGTGGTGCTGGTTGAGGAGTTGCTGCTTCTGCACATGGGCGGTTGGGGAACAGGAGTTGTGGCGAGGGAACCAAACTCAACTGCTGGCTTCAAGGATTGAGCCTAGTTCTGAAGCCCAAACTGACATGGAACACGTTTAGTCCCTTTACCCCACAGAAGGGGCCAAATTCATTACTTTTACTACCTCTTAGACCATTTCTTTGCAGTCTCTTTTGCTGGATGGTCTCTCTGCTTGTTCTTTCATCACTGGTATGTTCCTCAGGAGTTTATCCTCCCTCTCTCCTTTTATTATACACACATGTCTTTATCCTCTCCCACAGATTTCACTACGACCTATATCTTGATGACTCCCAAACCTCTCCCTAGTGCTGACCTTTCTCACAATCTTCAGACCCATCTAGA